CGTGCCATCGCCCCAGCCAGGCCCAGACCGTCATTAAAGTGTGGAATTCTCTGCCAAATAATTTTAAGTAAATGAAAGCATTTGGGATTGCTTTCCTTACTTTGTTTGGATCATCTTATGTTAATGTATGAGTTGTTTTTTCTAAAGTAAAACCTCAGTATTCAGGTTAAATTGCTGTGTTGGCACTTGGCGATAAATAAGTGGGTTTTGGGTCGTAGTTTGGGCACTCGGTCTCTAAAAGGTTCGCCATCACTGTTCTAGGTGATACGTGAGCTACTCTTCAGTGGCTGGTAAACTACCAGTGGCTCATCAGACACCTGGTGGAAAGTCTTCTGCTGGAGTTTGAGTTACAGAGTGCACGTCTTCTTCACATAATTATTGGTACACCATACCTTGACCAAGCCTCTGTTTCAATGGACACTAATTGCCCTTAGTGGAACTGTGGCCATGTGTTCAAATAATGACCTGATGATATCCCACAGAACAAGGATTCTGCTTCTAGAGTAGAAGCAAGTGAACAGCTGGTAGACGGGGATGCTCCTGGGAATCCTGATATAGGGGAACATACAGGTGGCTTCCCTTTTTCCATAGGATGAGATTGTAACAAGGAAAGCCCAACTGATCCACAAGTTACCCTCAAGGAATTCAACAATGATTCCATCAGATTTGTTTGGCGAGATGACCAGTGACACTTTAAATAGAAATGCCAGAAGTGGGTTGTTAGATGCACCTAACAGCATAAGAAACAGCCCCTTCCCAGTAGTCAAGCTTAGTTGTAGGACCTTGTCCCAGCTTTAGAAACCAATAAAACAACAAATACCATAAAAATTTAGGACACATGAGCAAATAGACATAAAAAGACAAAGGAGTCTCCAGTGGGATCTTAGTCAAAGAGATCTACTTTAAGAACAGTAGGCAAAGTTAGGGTGCAGGATTTCTTGGCTCTAGCTGCAACTCTGGACTCAGCCATCCTGTGCAAGTGAAGACAAAGGAATCCTATACCTCCTTATCCTCTGGATCACAGTTGATTTTTGCTTCTTTTTTTTCCTCCACACACACCACATACTTATCACCTCCACAGATGCTGACATGGAACAGGTGATGTAAAGCATATAGGCTGGACTGAAATACGCAGCACAACTGTGCCCAGGAGCAGCACCAACACCTTGTAATGTAGACACAGCCTTGGACTTACCGAGGGGATTCCACTTCAGGATGCTTACACATTTACAACAATAGGACTATAGCAGTTCAGGCAGAGACAATGCTGGTTTCTTCCTCCCACTTAACCATCAAGTGTGTCAATATCACAGTGTGGGTACAAAAACATCATTGTTCTATTCTTGAATTTATGGTGTTCAGGCCACAAGGCAAAGTGCTAATTTTTTGGTAAAGGTAAAGGTTTCCCTTGCTCGAAAGCCAGTCAAATCCGACTCTAGGGTTGCGGTGCTCATCTCAGTTTCCAAGCCAAAGAGCTGTCCGAAGACGTTTCCGTGGTCATGTGGCCGGCATGACTAAAAGCCAAGGCGCACGGAATGCTGTTACCTTCCCACCGAAGCAGCACCTATTTATCTACTTGCAATTTCTTGCTTTCGAACTGCTAGGTTGGCAGGAGCTGGAACCAGAGATGGGAGCTCACTCCGTCATGCGGCACTTGGGTCTCGAACTGCCGACCTTCCAAGCCTGCAGTTCAGCGTCTTAACCACTTGAGCCACCACAGTAACTAATACTTAAAGCTTACTGGGAAATGTATGATGCCATTAATGGAAGTTTTAATAGGTGCTGAAGCATATAATGACAGTTCCGCTCTCTCTCACACACAGGTATATTCTGTAGGGCAGGGAGAAAATGAGTTTGCAAGTCAGAAAAATGTTGGTATCTACAGCTTCTATAAAGTAGCAAGTGTTGGGTAGGGAGCACATTTTAGTATGTATTTCCATTCCCAAGCCTATAGGAACACATAAGGGACAGTTAATGCATCAGTGCTATCGTATGTTACTGTCACATAAAAAGAAGTTAGGAGCATGTCTAATGGAGAAGCCTGTTTTCTCAACAGCCGGGTTAGCACTAACACTAGACTTCAGCTACACTGTCTTACAGTTAAAGAATTTCTATCTCTACAAATTATTGAAAATGCTGTAAGCTGGTGTAGAAATATTTTGATTGCAAAAAAGACAGTTTGATCGCAACATTACCAATTTGATTAGGAAGTCCATTAACAAGAAGTTTAAAGACACATCCCATGAGGCAGAGAAACAAATGCCCCAGTTCCTATTTTCCAAGCAGCTGAATATCCTGCATCTCAAGCTTTTTATGCACAAAATAATGACATGGGACAGCACGCAAAGCTTCCTCCCTCCCTACAGCCGAAAGGTTCAAGGAAGCCCATACTTCTTTTTTGAGCACTCAAATCAGCTCTCAGTTTAAAACTCAAAACAGACAACAAGCTGCCTTTGCAAGTTATTTTTTCCTAATAATTTTATTTAAATAAGACACAGGAACCTCTATACTGAAAAAATACAAAACAAAAGCCACACATTTTCTTGTGTAAAGCAATAGTGTGGTAATTCGAATACTGTTCAGCACAGTGGCTAGAAATAACAGTACAACTATGTACAAAACTCTTGAAACAAATATTTGACAAATTTCTACAGCTGGGTGTAAGATATATTGGAGATCAACAACTGCTGGGAGATTTACATAGCAAAGCATTACCTTTAACATATTTGATTCAGAATCTTCCAATATTCTAAGAACAAATGCGTGTGACAATTAATATTTAGTTTCTCATGGGAAAACATAATGAGTAATATCACTGTAACTATTGTACACCAGAGTTCATCCTTGATTTAAGTCAACTGGCAGAGTTTTCCATCAACCCCAACAACTATGTATTTATATTTGGAAATCACCAGACAATAAGAAAAGCGTACTGCAATATTCAACTCAAAATGCCAAACTTTAAAGAACTTACGTTTGGGTCACAACAACTGGATGCTTTTTTTCCTTATATTTTAATGTACAACTATATAGTGCTTTCACCAAGGCCTGAGATCAGCAAGGTTAAAGATGCCTGTATTAAAAAGATTTACTGCTTGAAAACAAAAAAAAGCAAACACAGATCAGTTTCTCTCCACTCTATCAGCCTGTTCCTACAGTCATACAACAACTGTCTTAGAGGCTGTCAGTCTACACTTCCTAACAGATCAGTACCAAACTCTTTGGTGATGATAGGAAGGAACTGAGTTTCGTCTTGCAGCACACACACATGCCATTTTCTATTTTTCTTAGGTACTCTTTCTGGGGGCATTTTAAATAGTTCCCCCTCTCCACCTAAAATTCTTCCTCAGAAGAAAAAGTCATGGAGTTAAAATAAATGCTGCAACAGCTGCAGTCTCTTAAACTTTTCAGTTCCTGAAGCAGGGGAAGCCAAGCTTTCTTCTGAACAGACTTGCATAAAGCTACTTCCATTCAACTGAAAGCAAAGACACAAGAGTCTCTCTTTTGCCTTTGGAGTCCTCTTTGTATTGCAAGGCCATTATCTCTGAAAGCTGTGCTCTTGCAGTTGCAGGGCAGTAAGGTAATGCTACTGGATGCTCTTAGGACATGCAGCATCTTTGAAGACTTGTACAGCTCACAAGGTCCAGCATCTTCTATCTGCCTTCTTCAAACTACAAGAATCTACCTGCGAGTGGCCTAAACCAGAGATTCCTAGGAAAGGCTTCAATTAGATAACACGACTTAAAAACTATTGCTTTTTTCTTTTTTTTCTCTTTTTTTTTTTTACAAAACCTCATATGCTGCTTCTGAGAGTTTCAGTCCAAGTGCGAAATACCCATTGTACAAATAAAAGTTCACTGATCATTGCTTGTCAAAAACACAAGAATTCCCCCCTGAACCTCACACAAATGAACATTTCCTCCAAAAGAGAAACTAAACATTAATTAGACTCTTAAAACGGTAACAGTAGCATTTCACATCCTTGCCAACGCAAACACAAGAGGAAATTCCCACCACCCCTTCTGAAACTGGAAAAAAGTCTGCTGAAATTAAATGAAAACATTCTTGCCTTAGATCCTCTCTCTCACACACGCCATGGAATGTTTCTTATGTACAGCCTAGTACTGAACACTTTTATTCACAACAGCTTAACAGTCATTAACTGTGCAACACCTGAAACTTTTAAATGCCACAATTTACACGTTGAAATGACGGTAAATGCAACAGTTGTTTTACTTGTAACCACATGACAAAGTGATGTCATAGCATCACAGATTTGCTGGTTCTCCTCATGTTCACCCATGTTCAGGGTTGGTATTCCCCTGGACTTGAATGTACTTTTTCCAAGAAAGTGGAATGTAATGAGGAAATATTAATGCATAAAATAAGGAAAGGCAGAAGAGTGATGTTCCCTCTTTAGCTTTTTAGCTGTAAAATATTTAATATCCTAATATGATATACATTCCAAGTTACCTGAGTTTAGACTTCGAGAGAAGTACCTGAAGCTAGGCCATAGGGTGGGCACTGTGCAACTGTTGTGGCCATTTCTTTCTTTTTTCATTTTTTTTTTGCATTGTAGGTATTACAGAAGTTCAAAACATAAATACCTGGATAAATTGTAAACATAATCCTGAAGTACAGTATTTTCCATAGAACACAACACAGCAAGACATATTCTATTTCGACAGGCAACCTTTGTTTGATATAGAGCTTATTTATACTGTAGAATTTGAAACAGAACACAGGACACAGTACTAATCTGGTCAAACATTCTATGAAATGCATAGTCTCCACTTAAAATGCTTAATGATACACAGATTCTGCAAGCATTCTGAACTCCCCCCCCCCTCACCCGTCACACACGCACACAAAAATGCTGAAGAAAAGCATTTCTGTCCCTGCCAAGAACAGCACTGTATTCTAGAAAGATGCTAAGTAGCTTGTTTTTTGTTCTGAAAAAGATGCCACTCATGCAGTTGAGACGGACACTCTGCCTTACTCTAGATTATCACATAGTTTTGAGAAGAGGAGTGTTCTTCGGACTGCAGTTCCTGCAAAAGCTGTGGCGGCTGCTGGGGTGGCTGCTGTGGTACTAAGACCTCGGCAGAGTCCGTTGTGCTGGTGTCGTCTGACAGAGAGGAGAAAGAGACCCGGGAGGAAAGCTGCTCAACAGTCAGAGTACTCAGAGATGTGCTTTGACCAGAGTTTGGAGAGCTCTTCAGTGTCAGGTCAGAAGCAGGTAGTAAAGGACCCAGCAGTTTTACAGGACAGAAAGCTGATCCGGTCGGGATGAAATTAACCTTGTTTTTGTCAGGGCATGAAAACAAAGGGGCTGAGACAGGCTGACGAGTCCTACAATTTAGGGGGGGGGGAGAGAAGCAAGAAAATAAGTGAACATTTTTGAACAGCCTAATGCAACTTTGCAGCTCTACATGTTGCTTAAAATGTGAACGACAAGAAATGGAGTTATTTGACAGATGGGCAAACATCTTCCATATTAGTAGTCAGCTGACCATTTGATCCACAGCAATAAATATGAATGCATGCAAAAAAAAAAGCAACCAGAGAACAATTATAAAATTTGCAGATTTTGGCATTACCATTGTAATGGATCTGGATACACAAACCATGATTTAAAATTCTTTCATGCGCAGCTTACCATCATGTGAACAGGAAAAAACCTCACTGTAGCAAACACACTTGACACCAGCTTTACACAGTACAAGACATCTGCCCTTCTCCATACCTAGCATGTCAACATCCTTTCTCTGCTGAAACCTCCCCTGACTATCCAGCAGGGTTTTGTTTTTACTAGGGCTAAGCATCAACCTTGGCTTTGTCTACGTGACCATGCAACATGTGCTTGTACTCCTAGTCTAAAGAGTAGCCACCATTCCAGCTTCTTGAATGGCAATACAGGTGGTAGTGGGAGATAAATTGGCCAGATTCTAACATACTATAACTGATAGTTACGTTAACTACCCTGTTTAAAGTTTGTGTTCTCTCTCTCTCTCTCACTCACACACACACTCACACAGTGGAAATACAAGTCAATAAAGATTCAAACATTCCCGAAAGAACTCTCTGGCCCCAGCTGCTATTTATAAATTTAAAAGAATTAAACCTACATATATTTCTGAAGACGCCCTTATATGCATTGCAAAGCACTTTTTAGAATAGTGAACAAGCCACAGCTCTGCTTACACTTCCCCCTTAGTTGTGCTTTCATAAGTATAGTCACATGATCCAAAACAAAAAAAAATTCCATTCCCCCCTTGAGCTCACAGGAGCATTTCAACTTCTTGCCTGGGCAAAATTGGCAAGACTGGTTTGCTTCTGAAAGAAAACACCCCTCATCAGCTGGAATAGTTTATTCATCTGCAGTTGAATAGGTCCAGTAAAAAGGTTTCCTGCATTTGCAGATCCCAGCTGATATAAAAGGCATTACTTACGACATTTCCTCAAAGACTTTCACTCGCTCACATCCCTCTGGGGGCTCTCGTTTGAACATGTAGCTGTTGTTGGGTTTAGGAGACGAAGCATACTTGGGCAATGGTGAGCTACTCCCACTGTCTGAAAATTTAAAGCAGTTGTATTACTAGAGATTGAGAGTGCTTTTTAGTTAAACTTGATTTCCAAACAAGACGGCGTTTGCACAACTTCGCTGCTATGGCCAGTTTTGCTTCCAATCACAAAGCTTCTTTTATTGCAGGCTACTTCTAACACTCTGGTATAGCACACTTCTTCTGAAGAAAAGCTTTAGTGAAGCAGTAATCTACCACACAACGGCACACATAATAGGAGGATATTTTTATCCAGAATGCTGCAGATTGAATAAAGCAGAGCTGTAATCCTAGAAACAAGTAAGTGCTTTACTAAGCATTGCAAAAGTGCAAAATGATCAGGGCAGTATATACAGCCTAGGTAAAAAAGAAGCGCAAGTGGTTAACGATAATGTAAACTTCGCTTGTGTCTTGTCGATACATTAAACTTTAAAAATGCTCACAGGTAGCTGCTGAAATATAAAGTCATTGGCAAACAACAACAAAAACTATTACCCTCAGTGGTGTCACACAGAAAAATAAAGAGAACAAGTGCAAAATATAGAAGCTGATGTACCTGGCTTTCCATCTATGTATAAGTAATTTTTTATAAATGAGGGAAATGCTCCATATCCCTGCTTTTCATGCCTGACTCATGGTTTGCATTCAGACTGCCAAACAAGCCACAGTTGGCTAAAGCAGAAGCGAGCCTTTGAAGCCTTCTGGCTCACATGCTCCTTTCCCCCTTTGACTGCCAAGAATGAAGGGTTCTGGTTCAGACAAGAACATAACAACAGCCTAGCTAGAGCTGACCAGAGGTCCATCTAGTCCAGCATTCTATCTCACACAATGGTCAACTAGTTACTCTGGAGGGCCAACTGAAGGGCACAGAGGCTGAGGTCTTCCCAATGTTGCTTCCTAGCACTAGTATTCAGAGCTTTAATACCTCTGATCATGGCGATTCCCTTTAGTATTTCATCACAGAAAGAGTGCTGTAACCCTTATCACCTTGGTTGTTCTCTCCTGTATTTTTCCCAGCCACGCAATGTTCTTTTTGAGATGTGGCAAGATATCTCCAAGGTGTTCTAAACACAATTTGCCACACTATTTGAATCTTTTTTAAATCACTCTAAAAAAAAGAAAAAGAAAAAAGAACAAGTAAAAAAGTTAAAATGCTGCAACTAAATAAGATGTTTTAAAAAAAATAAAAGAAAAAAGGGGGGGAAGATACATAAAGACAAGTAAAAATGTAGCAACAGTGATGGCAGATCTACACATAAGTTTCTATAAACGATTTCCAAATATTTAAAAATAATTCCATACACAATTGCCATCTATATGCCATGTGTTCAAATGCTGATAGAGTTCTAAGGTCCTCAATCCACTAATTTACCGGAGCTGGGCTTTTATCTTTCCAATGCTGTAATCTGAGTCTTTTAGATGTAGTAAGGGCACAGAAGCTCCACTTTCATGGACCATCAGACTCCAAGAAATGGGCAGATAGTTCAAAAGTACTTAAGAATCCTCAAAAATCAATGAAAACATTCTAATATAAAATTGTTACAATAACGTCTTCCCAGAAAAACCGAATGACTAGACACGCCCAAAGCAACATTTAAAGGACATGTTCTGTAAATTACAATGCCAACAATTAGACACTCTACTCAATCCTTTGCTAAAGAGTCACTGTGGTATCCAGTATATCCTAAACATAATTTCCCCCCTGAATAAGTCTCAACTTAAGATCCACAGGGAGAGTAGGTACAGACTTTAAGGCCACATCCTATTGCTTTGGCAAAATAGGGCAATCTCACTCCTTACTCCATTCATGTCTGAGACTCTGCATACCATATTTATTGACACTGAATATTTACAAATATTTTCATTTTCTGCCTTGATTTGATTAGTGTTTCCAGGAGCAAATGGGATTCTATGGCACTTAATACTGCAGGGCCATATTTAGATACCAACAAATGTTAAGTATTGCCATTCTAGAGAAGGTGACAGATCATTAGGGGATGGGCATGGACTGGCTCATGAGCCAAAATTCAGCATGAACTCGGGCCGGTTCACAGCTCAGGAACTGATGTATGGGGAAGGCGCTTTCCCCAAACATTTGCCCAACTTTTGGCCAGTTTAGTTTGGCTGTTCAGGGCCAGCCATTTAAACCTAACAGTGGAGCTGTGTGGGGTCCATTGCTCTGTGTTAGGTTTAAATGGCTGCCAGCCAGCCATTTAAACCTTCGGTTCTGCTCCCCCCTCAAAGCAGTGGGGAGCAAAACTGAATGGTTAAATGGCTGGCAACCATTTAAATTGAACAGCTAAGTGGTGTGAAGTCCACCCAGCAACTGTTAGGTTTAAACAGCTGGCAGACATTTAACCCTTCCCAGGCAATCCCAACCCCCTTTATCCCGGCTACAGTGAGCCGTGGCCAGGAGAAAGGGGAAAAGGAAGTCCTTTCTTGGGCAATCCCCCCCTTTCTCCTGGCCCCAGTAAGCTGCGACCAGGAGAAAGGTGGAAGGAAGTCCCTTCCCAGGGCAGGGGAAAAGGGGGAACTGAACGTGCCTGACCAATTCTGGTGGGGCTCGTTTGGGTCCAGTTTGTGGGCCGCCCCAAACTGAACCACCCTTTTTAGGTTTGTGCCCATCCCTACAAATCATATCTAGACCTCAACTGAGAAAATAACAAAAACTCATCCTCATAATCTATCAATTGATCAAATGTAAAAATCCCCTTTTCAGTCCAAGCCTTAGACAAAAAAAGATTTCTTCCCAATTTTGAGAGCTGGATTGGCCCAGAATGTTGATTTAGAACGTGAAAATGGATCAAATTAATATTGTTGTATCATTACACACCACTGTTTTCTAGTAATAGAAATTGCAGGAGGAATGGGATCCACTCTAGCATAAGTACCAGACAAAAGGACTCCAAAAGAGCCCAAGATGGACTCAAGGCACTGTAACAAACCACAACTTGTTTAGGATCCTAGTTTGTAGGCAAAAAATAGCTCCAACATTTTACAGTGCCTGAATCAGATGTCATGATAAGATGCAACTAGTTCAAAACCAATTTGTCCTAAATCTCAGTGCAAGGGAAGGGCAGAGGAATGTGCAAACCAGAGAATATAAAATATTTGCTCTTGTCACAATTCACGTGATCTGAATCCAGCTACTGATTCAGCTTTTTGGTATTTCACCTATTTGGTAACCCATATTTCACCTGTTAACTGCCTTTACCATACCAGCAAACAACTAGCCTACAGAGTACAATATAATCACCTTTTCTATGAACTCTCCCCAAGAAAAATGTGTTTCATTTAAAAGACAACCTGAAACATTGCATCCCTTGGTTATCTTGCATGCACTTGTTGTTCAGATAATAGCACAAACATTTTGAGATCAAGAGATGGCACCCAAAGGAAGTCTTTTACTCTACCAAGCATCTGGTAGAATAACCAAGAATAACAGTCATCTGCTGGTTGTCCCCAGCCTGAAAGATGCCCGCCTAGCCTCAACCAGGGCCAGGGCTTTTTTGGCCCTAGCCCCAGCCTGGTGGAACAGAGCTGTTCCGCCAGGACTTTGGCTGAGGCAGTGGGCATCTATCAGCTGGCCTCCCTATTGCTGCTGCATGAGATCATTATGGCTCAGCATCGGCCCACCCATTCCAGCTGTAGGAACCGAAACTAATATACTGCACTGCCCACTTTAAATGTCTTTAATTGGCTTTATTGTATTATTTTAATACTATTATTTATCATTTCTTGACCTATTTTAAAATTGTGTTGTATTTATTGTTGTGAGCCACCCTGAGCCCACTTGCAGGACGGGTGGGATATAAATCAAAATAATAAATAAATAAAATAGGAATAGCTTGATTTATTGCTCTTTCATCCTAGGCTTTACTTAAGCCATATCCAGAGCTTGATCACTGATAGGTGATGTTCACAGAGAAAAATATAACCTAAGAGAGTGTGAAGAATTGACAACCATCACTATTAGCTCACGTTGCCTGAAATACTGGTTGCATTACAGAAAACTCTACAAAAGGATGTGTTAAAAAAGCCTACTTTTTAAAAAACCCTTAACATTATTTCAATTGCTATTTTCTTTGTAACTGCCCTTCTCTGGGGATTGAAGTCAACCTTTGCTCTGGGAAGAACACCCACACAAGAAACAGAAAAGGTAGCTTTGATTATCTGCTGGGATCTGCTGATATTAACGTATAATTATGGAAAGACTCAGTTAAATCCTTCTATTATGATCTAACCACTTAAACTGAGTACTACTATTAATGACTGTGGGATCTTTCTCTATCCTCCAGTTCCCCAACCGCAGTTAACACAAGAGTCATGTGGTATTTGCTCCTGGAATCTACATGTCCCTTGATCCCCCCCCCCTTTTAAAGCACTTTGAATACCTCATCTTTGACACAAAGCCAGTCTGAAAATTTAATACAGGGGAAACTGCCGTAAGCACAGTACTCAGGAACTTAAGAATAGCTATACTAAAACAGATGGTCAATCAACAATGTAAAGGCTCTGCCAGTTACTTATCAGAAGAGAGATCCTATTTTACAATCCAAAAGTAAAGGCCGAAAACCAGTATCTTTCTTCCCAGAACAAGGTCTCATAAGTGAACCCGCAGGCTGTAAATAGCACACGGGGTCACCAAACTGAATTCTAATCACTGGCACCCTGTGGAGCTGGCACTTTTAATGCAACAAAACTGCTTCTAATCACATGGCAGGCTGGGGCCTTTTTCACCTCCTCCTCCCCACACACACAACAGGTGCCATTAACATTTTCTCCACCCCCTGCTGTGCAAGATCACTCTCCCATCCCAGAGCAGACCATGGGTTCTCTTTGCAGACTATGTTCATTTTCTTTTGAAATTTTCAACCTATTTAAAGCAGCTCTTTATAGAAATGTAAAGTAAACAGCTGATCTGATCCAAAGAGCGGCAATGGAGCCTGTGGTCAAAGCACAGCCTTAGACCAAAAAGAAAAGATGCTTTAGAAATGTAAAGCAGGTCTGTGTCTGGCCAGCAGGTTAGCTCTCCCCACGCTTGATCAATTATTAACTTCCATTTTCTATTCAGAAACACAGTCAGATCCAGATTAAAGCTGATTTACTACTGAAAAGTATAATGGAAATTTTGCTGAAGAAGAAAACAAGGCCTATGACAGCGAACAACAGAATACAGATTCTTTGGGCATTTTTAAACGCCTTTTTAGCATAAGATGCTCAAACTTGAAAATGAGTCCTTCCAGAACACTGGTACAGGATGTTAATCAGTTATTTAGGTTGAATTGTCATGGGAGAGCCCTAAAAGTAACAGATGGCTTGAACAGAAGTTGAGCCTTGGAAGGTGGGCTTCACAACAAAGACTGAGAACTTCTACTCTAGAACAAGGAAGTGGGGAAGAAAAAAATAACCAGCTGTTTTTTTAAAAAACAAAAACAAAACCCTGACAATATAGCAACAGTCAATTCCATTCTCCAAAAGCAGATGCAAAACCACCAGTTAAACCTCTTGGGTGTTGGTGAGAAGACAGGAAGAACTCATGTCTACCCTCTGACTATCAGCTTGTCTTTAATTTCCCAATAGACTACGCAAGGTGCTTTTCTAACTGTGGTTAAATTCTAATATAAATTCCTACATCCTCACAAACATAATGCAAGGTAAAGCTAGATATTAATGCAGTGTTTTTCCTCAGGTTTCTCCAGTGTTGCAAGTATCTCTGGAGAAATAAGCAACAGTATTGTTAACTACTGACCACTAGATTAGACACCATCTAAAAATCATAATTCTCTACATCATATTGTTACATTAGAGCCAGTGACTGTAACTTGAGGTATTTAGAGGTTAACCTTAAAACAATGAATTGACTGCCAAGCAACTGAACAATTCTTTAATGATTTCTGAACAAGACAAACACTTGCCTCCCTTGTTCATCCAGAAATCTTCCTTGAGATATTATCTCTGCTGGTGCTAGAATGTGTTCCTTTTTTAAAAAAAGGGCCCCCCCAAACCTTGCAATAAGATATACTGGTCCAAATTTAGTAAAGTAACAGTGCAGTAACACCACACCCATATACAACAATATCTAGTACACATACAGATACTAATATTTTATTCAATGCTCTGGTATTTCCATGTGTGTATTAGTCATCCTCTATCATATGCAGGTTTGGCTCACATACTTCTTTCCGCTTGCTAGTATGCAAGCTTATTGTTCAGTGAGCTGTTCATGTATGTTCGAGCTGAATGATTACAATGTTTTTCTGCATGATTACCAGTGCTTTCTCACATCTGCTACTCATGTGCTGCCAATTTTTAAGAGCCAGTTAGCTAAAAATATTTAGTTGTTTTTTCTTTCAAGACTTACTATTTGGGTGTCTCTGTTTGCCTTTATCTGCCCATAAAGCTAGCTAACCTTTTGATCAGTTATCATGATAACTTCTATAACAGATGCCACCATCAGTATAATACAATCTAACTGATGTTGGTCAAAAGATGCAGCAACTGTACAGGCACAAATGAGCCAAAAACTGCAAGTGCTTCTATGCTTTACAATACAAATTGGTAAATTTAATAACTCATGGGAGGGAAGGAGAGCCAATTTGGTGTAGTGGTTAGCAGCACGTACTCTAATCTGGGAGAAGTGGGTTTGAATCACCCCCCCTCCACATGCAGCTGCTGGTGTGACCTTGGGTCAGTTACATGTTCTTTCAGAGCTGTTCTCTCAAGAGCAGTTCTCAAAGGAGCTCTCCCAGCCCCACCTACCTCACAGAGTGTCTGCTGTGGGGAGGGGAAGGGAAAGGAGATTGTAAGCCGCTCTGAGACTCCTGTATGAATCCCTCCCCCTCTTCTACTTCTTCTAGCCTGATCTCCTCAGATCTTGGAAGCTAAGCATGGTCAGTACTTGGAAGGGAGACCACCAAAGAAGACTCTGCAGAGGAAGGCAATGGCAAACCACCTCTGCTTCTCACTTGCCTTGAAAGCTGCTTGCTGGGGTTGCCAGAAGTCGGCTGCAGCATGATGGCACTTTACAGATAGACACAATTTAATTACTCAACCAAGACCCCAGTTGGAAGGAAGCAGCTAAGTAAGATCTGTTGCGACGGGACTTGAGAAGAAGTAGTCCCACATTAGAAAGTCACAGAACATTTTTTCCACCATGCAGCACCATTACTATTATGCCTTATTTCTTCACTCTCACCCACACAACACAAAGTTAGCACTGGGCAGCGCCGGAGATTCGCATTTACACTCATAAATATTACAATGTAAGATTACGCTCTCAAATCCATGTTTTTTAGTGAAGTGTGTGTCCATAGGAAGGTCCAGGCTGTAAGCAACTTCCCCCATGTTCATTTCCATTACAAAAGCATTTCATCTCCTGAGGGAAATGCACAGTGTGCCTGACTCTGGCTGGATCAAGAAACTAGTGCCAAGAGAAGATAGCAAAGCCATGTGGTGCTGGGTAAATTCTCATGTGTGGTGGAGTTAGAGAAGCATCTCTAGAGACATTGATTAAACTGCAAAGGATATGAGAATGATTTGACTTTCATTCTTGCAGAGCACAGGATGTGGCAATGTATGTTAGAAGAAAGAGACAAACAGAAAATTAGTATGCAAGATGGGGAAAAGAGGGAATTGAAAGGAGAAGTTAAGAGAACAAAAACAATGTGCCCTGTTCCTTCACAAAAAGCTACTCAGCTGCAAGAGTCCCCATTCTTTTAAAAAGTGGGGATCTACAACAAAGCTGCAATTTATCCCTTGACCCCTAGTAGGAGTTTCTTTCTAAGAACAAGAACTGCTGGAGGAATGAAGACCTCCTGTTCAGGCATTTGGGAGGGGGTTAAAATGGGGAGAGGGTTAAAGGGGGAAATGTAAATGATAAATCCTACTGCCCAGAAAACTTCTCCACCCTTTATTACAGAGTGTTTAAAGTATCAAGTTGGGAGCTGGCTGCTTTAAATCTAACTTAATAGCACAGGTCTGATTACCTGCCACCCTGCTGTTTAAAAAATGTATTGCCTACCTATTAGCTTTGGATCAAAATCCTATAGCAGAGGACAAAGGAGATTTCTTGAAAGGGGTGTGTGGAAAAACATAGACAAAATTAGAATTTGGAAGGGAAGGTGCTTGTAGATGCTTTTTAAAGATTTCCAAGACTACAAAAATTCTGGGTCTCCTTCCAGTTTGGTAGATGAACAGGGACAAACTGCATTGTACTCTCCCTGGACTATAAGCAGCCAGAGATGGACAGCCTGCTTATATGTGCAGTCCTTTCAGTTTTGGAGGGATTTTGTCTCCTATTGGAGAGTAAAGTTAATGTTTTTCTCCATGCCTGGGGGTTCCTGCCAGTGCATCGAAAGCCCCTCTTCTTTGTGGGTGGCCCTGTAGTGTTCCTTTCATTATCCACACAGGAATCAGGTACTTTATTATTAGATGTATTGATGCTTTTGTATTAATTTCTGTAACACGAAAGTTAAACAACTGAACTATTGATTCCCACAGTCCAAGGATTTCTGTAACAGATTTCAATCCTACAATGTGTATAAATTATATGAATGGCTCAAATTTACATATATTTGCTAATCAAGCATAATTTTTTCTGCTTCTGCTGGGTTACAACAAAGGGGAAGAAGCTCTGTAGGGAACCAACTCTCCCTTGCCCCTCCCCGTTCCCAAATGTCAGACACTTGCTACCATCTCTCCTTATATATAATTGAATAGTGGGTACCAAAGTTCTAATTCTAAAATGCACTCCCTTAGTGTATGGCTGATGGCACTGCTCCTCAGCATATATTGCCACCAATCAGAAGGCAAAGCCCGGGTTCCGCCCACACCACAACTGCTGCGACAACCTGGTCTTTTGCATATGGAAGCTGATTGGACTTCACTCCATTCCACACCTCAAACTCCCCCCCCCCGGCAAGGCAGTTGGAATGTCAGTTGTATATGGAACCTGCTGTATTCTGGTGGTGTGCAGGTCCCAGCTTCATGTTTTAAAAGCAGACTGACACTGTTTGCCCAAAGCCAGAGGACTCTCCCAGAGCCTCTTTCTAGCTCCCGTTGTATTTATTTCCACAACGGGCCTTAATTCTAGTCTTCTATATTCCTAGAAATTGGATGAGAGGGGGCACAAAAGCCAATTCTAGGAGTACTGAATTCAGTGCCCAACACAAACATCTGTGACTGAAGCAAAGTAACACAAACTATTTTTGACAAAATTTGAGAATTAAGAGGAAATGTCAGATTTCTATAAATACCGACAGTGAAACATGGCCAGCAACACTCTCACCATCACATGCCATTCTGTTGTTGTACTATACCATGTGCTCATCTGGAATAAATATTTTGGTCTTCCAAGCTGAACCAATGCTGCTAAATTAATAAATAAAACATGTTAGTTTTTAAGAACACTTATACAAACTCTGGATTCACTTATTTGGCCAGTGATTCATTCTCTTTCATGGAACATTTAACACTTTCCCTCAACTCTTCATGCAACAGTCTTCATAAAGAGTTTAAAGGTTGCTGTGCCCTTCTGACAATTATGGAAGATGTTTGTGAAATTGCATGAACAAGAGGGAAGAATATGTAAACAAGCAAACACAATTATGAGCAGTCTTTGTTCACACCAAGGGCAAAAAAAAATTAAAAACAAGATGTAGCACAATGAGGTAAGGTAAAAGCAAACCACCACCACCAGACAAATGGAGGTCTCACCTTTGTCACGGTCATACAGCATGTCTTCAGTGGAGCAAGGACTCCCATCCTGAGATTCAGGAGGACAAAAGGGAGAGATACATGGGGAATGGCTGCTGCAGCTGCTACTGCGCTCTTGGACAGAAGGTGTCTGCGTATCGATGCTGCGTGTGCTGCTACTACGATAGTGAGCAGGTAGGGGTGCTCTTCGACCATCAGGAATATCCAAAGGCTGCAATGGAAACACCACCAGTATTAAAATGCATGGTGGGAACTCATTCTCCCGCAGCGAAGTCTGAGACCTAGAGGGCACTTTGACCTGTGCTAATTTCTTTCAAGCCAGACATGACCTTGCGGGAGGGAGGGAAGTCAACTTCCTACAAAAGGCAGCAAATGACACAATGGCATGCTGTTCATCAACTCATTTAGTGCAACAGACTGCATGGAAATTCCAGTCAACTTGAATGTGCAGCTATATCCTTAAATAAATCTCAGGGCTAGATGCACTTCAGCAATCAGGCCACATACAGAGATTTGTCCTTACTAAACAAATGCTCTGCTGTTTTTAAACAGTAACAAGTATTAAAGGAAACAAATGTGATTATGGAAAGGCTGGGGAAGCTGACACAGCTTAAGACAAACCATCATTATTACAATGAAGGAAAATCAACATCTTTCTCTTAAAGACAATCAAGAGAAGAAAATAAACCTCTAATTTCAGAACACAATCCACTGGGGATCTTCTCCTAAAAAACTAAGTAGTGGTAATTTAAGGGATCAAGTCTGTATATATAACTTTTTTGTTGTTCTTTTGGTACTAGCTTCTGTTTCCTGAGAAAGTTTATGATTGTTTCTAAGAGGGCTAGTGCTCAAAAAAGGGCATGTTTCTGTCCAGGAGAAAGGGGAAGAGAGGTGCCAGTGAATTCTCTACAAAACAGGTACCTAATCTGTTTCTTCTGATATTTCACATGTATTGGGAAACAAATACTTTTACTGAATTTTTAAGACTGTAGTCACTTCATTAAATGCTAAGTGGGAACTAGCTAACACCACAGTTCATCTAAGAGCTCCTCAGTGCTAATGAGACATTCTTTTAAGCATCAAAGTAAAATGCCAGCAGTACACAAAAACATGTATGGGTTAAACAGTGATTTGCAAAGTTAGCTTCACCACACTTTTCAAAGAAAACACTAATAAAGATGAGCGAGGTGAGAAGTAAACAAAGATGCAGAAATGCCAAATGTGCCCCGAAGAAGAAAATAAGAGAAGAAACAGCCCTTTCTCCAGTTCCTGATTCTTTAAAGAAAATAGTCATAGTTGGTATGAATGCCCATTGACAGTGCAGTAAAAAATCAAAATGGTTCAAGCTTAGAAAGCGCTTACTTACACAAGATGCTTGCAAATGTTTGAGAAATTACTTCTGCGACACAGGATGCTATTTTCCCCTCACATCTATATATCTAATAGCGAAGGCGCCCCCTGCGTGCAGATATCTACACCGAAGAATGCTTGTTGTCTGGTTAGGTTGATGAATGGAATTCATCTTGGATTAAGAAAATTTAACATCAAGAGCACCGCACTTTACTTAATGACTGTTTTATACTGTTTAATGATTGTTTTTATGTTGTTTTAGTCATTGCTATGGCAATTGCCTCTGTTGTAGCCGCCCTGAGGGGTATAAATCTAGTAATAAATAAATAAATAAATAAATATCTAAATCTGCACCCTAAAATAAGACTTGCATTACTGCTCGTGGGTAGATGAACACATGAAACTGCCTTATACGAAGCCGGAATATTGGTCTCGGATGTTCAGCAGTGTCTACTCTGACTGGCAGTGCATCTCCAGAGTCCCAGGAAGAGATCTTTCACATCACTTCCTACATGATCCTTTTAGAGATGCCGGAGATTGAACATACTAATTACACAACAGACATATTGTCAGGCACCCAAAAACATTACAGAAAACAGCAGTGATCAAAGACATAAGACAATATAAAACAGTAGAAAATGTTGCTCCTGTTTTGGATTCAAGTTACTCAATTCAGTAACTTTTAAGTCTGGGGTTACTGAAAACATTCTTAACATATCAACTGTCATAAGTGCTCTTCTCAACATCACTGGAAATTGTAGAAAACAAATAATTACAAAATCTAGAGTTAGAACATTTTTTTCATTTTTTCTTCTGTAATCTAAAGCATTAAACATTATGTAACAGGGAGTTAGTGAACAGATCCTTCAGTTTTTAACCCTCTGAATGCTGACTGACCGTGTGAAGAAGGAAAGCGGGCATGAGTGCCTTGGTCCTGACTCCACTTCTACGTCATCACTGACACCTACATGTGGAAGAAGCGTCTCCATGTATGCGCCCTTCCCATGATCAGCAACATTTGGAAAAGCAGTGCCCTCAATCATGGGGGGAGTGAGCATCTATGCAGATATTTACTTTCCGCATTTGCACAGTGCAGATGATCCATGCCCACTCTCCTTTCCTCAATGCAGAGGGGTCAGGTGTAGCGATCTATTGTGTCAAACGTCTTTTAAGAGAAAGAACTGATATTAGCTCATTCTTGTAGTGCATCTCACGCGCTGGCAATAATCCAGCAAACCACTTAAAACACAGAGGAGACCTAATGAAGTCAACATAGATCCTCCCGTAGGAGTAGATGAGAGCAAATGACCTCAGCAGTTTGGAGAGATAAGCCATGAAAGCTCAGCAATAAATTACTAGAGAACATTGCCATCAGTTTAGATAATCTGAATGATCCATGAACTAGTGTCCTCTAATTTTAGCAGATGTGACAAAGACAGAAGGAGGACAGTTTTCAAGATATTTTTACTCTGCTCCAAATTCTGACCACATTAGGTGAGCTTAACATCAGCTCCACTATACAGTCTTTATTCTATTTACTACACTTTCCACTCAATGTTTAGAAGGAAGACAAGACTGCTCTACTTAAGCAATCCTACAGCCAGAGATTCTCACCTGAGGAATCTAAAGCAAACCTTTTTGGAACTAAAGTAGCCACCTGATGAAGTCAAGAAACAGATTAACAAAACCAGAATGGTACCCAGAGAAAAACTGTTACAAGGCAGGTCCAAAAGAGACAATAACAGAACACCACTAGTGGCCACATACAGCTCTCAACTCAAAACAGCAACGTATCATCAGTGACTTACAACCTCTACTGGATAATGAGAGTTCTCTTTCACAAGTAGTGGGGGGCAAACTTTTTCTTGTGCAGAGACAGCCCTCCAGTCTCAAACAGCTATTCACCCACAATAATACAACATCTAATTTGAACATGGACTTAACAACTACACCATCTCAGGCTTATTCACATGCTCATCTTCTAACACTGTATATGCCATTAAATGCCAACAACGCCCTTGAGTTCTCTACATAGGGCAAGCAGGTCAAACCCTACGCCAAAGGATAAATGGAGACAAATCTGACATCAAGAATCACAAGACTGAGAAACACGTAGGAGAACACTTCAACCTTCCAGGACATTCAATGGGTGACTTCAAAGTAGCTGTTTTATTCAGGAACAGACTAGAAAGGGAAGCTGCTGAGTTGTAAGTTATTACAACACTCAGAACAATGGAATCCCCAGGACTTAACAGGGATATTGGTTTCTTATCTCACTACACATGCTAACCTCATTCAGCCCTTATTCTCACCAACCCCCCAGAAGGGCCATACAACCTCTTTATTTTATTTCTTATTTGGAATAATAGATTAGAATAGTAGATTGTAATGTAACGTAATGAATACTAGAACGTAATGTAATTTGAAATGGTAGATTGGAATTTATTTCTCTGGTCTGGGGATAGGGGAGAGAACTCTACACAGCCAATCATCCAACTTCAAAAAAGAAGATGCTGTAAGGTCACTTCCATGCTTGAGAGGAGACGGATGGAGCATAATAGCAAGGTCTCAGTTAATTACCCTCAGCATTCTACAATTAAGGTTACATCTGTCCATCAATCTCCAATTTTGACATATTTATTTCCTTCACTCTGCTTTCCCCTGGAATTAAACCCAAACAAAGGGTAACCACATAAACTAAGCCTGTTATTCTTGTTAGTTCTTGAATCTGTTAAACATCTTCATTATGGTATATGCTAATCTACTGTTCACCCTCTACCTATATGTATGGACTGGTAATTTCCATTTCATTGTATCTGAAGAAGTATGCACACGAAAACTTATACCTTGAATAAATCTTGGTTGGTCTTAAAGGTACCACTGGAGTCAAACTTTGTCCTGCCACTTAAGCAATGTTTGACTATGTACTTGGGCTGAATCTCAACATGTTTTTCATTACTTATTGTGCAGTACTATTTATGATTTGTCAAAAGAAGGAACTCCTTTCCTTGGAGGGTTAACACAGGGGACTTGATGACATTGACAAGTTCAAGCTTCTGCTTTGACTGCTGAATATTTAAAGTGACCAGATTCACTGCTCAGGCCCAGAAATCCACAAGGGAGTTTCTGGGGACTTGTATAGTTGACTGCCAAGTTGACAATCTGCTTTGATGTACTGTACCATGTTAAATCTAGTTGCTTGTTAGTGTACTGAAGTACACATTTCTAGAAATGTGAAGGTTACTTTACCATGTTTCATGCTCTTTTCCCAAATTAAATGCAACAATGTACATAGGAATTTGCCACTGTAGATTACCAAGTCTTTTAAAACAGGAAATTATATTAATAAGCACTTGCAAAACAGCTTATGCTTCTAATGTGAAATTGTCTTAGATGTACCACATTAGATGGCTTCATACATTTCTAAATTCCATTTTTATACTGTACTCTTTAAAATATCCATTAGCAGCAGCATCTTACCTTGGACACTTCTTCCTTTCCACTGTTCTCTCTGATGAACACTTTTTCTAATTCAGGACTTATTCCTTCTACATTGCACGGCACACGTGAAACAGTCGATTTTGGCACTGAAACATTTGACAGCGGCATAGGGACTGATCTTGATATAGAAGCCTTTAGAATAAGCAAGAGAAATACAAAATTAGTTCTAAAATCACAGTCAAGAGTGGATATGGAGGTGAAAGGTCAAATTCTGTACCCCTGGTACCAACAGTTCCAGAGCAAATAGTTATGCATTAGTGTTTGAATCCCAGAGTACTTCAGAGGATGCAAATTCATGGATCCATAAAGGTGAAAATTAAAAGATCTAATCCACTTTATCGCACAGGTCTAATAGTCTAATACTATGGGCCCAGTGCCTCAGCTATCAGGTTACTGGATCAGGTAAAAGGACATTATATCACCATGTCACAGATTTTAATGTTGTATTCCTCACAAAAGAGAACCAAAGACATACAAGCCATTCCAGGATGAGAAAGACAATGGAGTGGATCCAACCATCATCCAAAGAGCCTTCCTCAAATTTAAGTGGCTCATCCTCCAACATAAGAGTTTGAGGATGGCTCCATAGGCTGGAGGAAGGCTCCAAACTTTGTTGGGTGGAGTAGTGAGATAGGGATAGGATCCAGTGTGCCTAATACTGAACCGATTACAATCTCTTTCAGATTTGTTTTAATTATTATCAGCGATATTTAAGATTGATACATTGTTACTAATTTCAAATCATGCAAATATCCCTTAACAATTTCCATTAGGTATTAATGACTAGGTGCAAAGGGTTTTAAAACTGTTGTAGACAAAACAACGTCAAGTGACTTCTACTACTTGCAAAGCAATCCTCAAGTTATTTCCTCTACCTATGAGTCAACTGCTAACCTTCTACTGAGTTTATGGAAACCATAATGTACATAAACAGGACAACATATCACTAGAAATGTTTCCTAAATGTCACTAGTACGTGTTAAGTCATCACTAGAGAAAAACAACAGTTAAAATATTTGCCTACACAGCTCTGGCACATCTTTAACATGACCACTATGCCACAAGAAAGCAACCCCCCTTGGGGGGGGCAGGAAACAAAAATTGACAGAAGACTGAAATAAAGAAATATTAACCTGACCAGTAGAATAAAACATTTTCTTGTAGAAAACCTTTTACAAATGAATCAGGTTCGGCCACTATTAAATGAGGGTTAGGGAAACCTTCTATCCTGTCTACAGTTCTCAGTTGTTCCATATTATAACCAGTGTCTGAACAATCCCTATGAGATTTACATACACTCTACTCAAAAGTTTTACCATGACCCACTTAATTTGTAGGAAAACAAAATCTCTGCTTTTACTTATCACAATAGGAAGTGTGGAACAGAAGTGTGGAACTCCATACAATCTATTAACTTTGTGACAGATGCTTACATTCAAAAGTATTATGGAAGAACAATGAACTCTGGGAAAAGAAAGGGGCATTTGCAGGAAGCCAGGTGAAGAATAATGCTGTGCCATTTTGCCAAATATTAGGGTTTGGGGAAGATTGCTATTGATAAATGATGAACCCCTAGTATCATTTTTATAGAGATTCCCAGGGCAGGGGGAGTAAAGCTATGTTATTGGCTCACATGGGGAATGGAGGTCGCTGGTTGATCAAATGTGTTAGATATACAAGTTTATTGCTCTGTACCCTCTACCCAGAAAAAAAAATGCAGCAACCAAGCCCCACCCTGTTGGGAATGCCATGATAAAAGCCCCCACACCTGCTAGGATCCTTTTTCTTCCCACTAAGCTTTCCTACACAACAGGCAGGCAAGCTGGCCAGGAGCGCTCTGCAAGAGCTGGCTCTCAACATCTTGAGGCTGGCTGAGGGGGAAGAAGGCACCCAAAGACAATGTCAGCTGGCAGCCCCATCTTTCAGAAACGCAGTAACAGCTGCAGGCACCACGGAGAGGTGAGAGTGGGGCACATTTGTGTGCCAGAAGGCACAAGGGTATGACGGCTAAAGGGAAGAAGCGTGCCCTCTGGGTTAGCTGAACATTCTGGATAATCAAGCACCAGATAACAAAGCTTTTAGTGCATTACCATTTCGTTACAGCAGTTCTTCTGCTTTGCATTGCATGGAGCTAACGTCAGGCTAAAATTTCTCTTAGAATTCAAACTGTGAAATATCACTTAAGATATGGACAGGCATTCAGAAGTAGAAAAGGACTGTTGCTTTTAATTCTGAAAAATGCTGTGTGAACAACCACAGTGATCTACTTACCTGAGTCTGATTGATTGCTATATGGTTGCCATGGAGAGGTGACTGACGTTCTTTTTCTTTATTGTGACGACTACTCTGCTTACTGCGCTGGAGCTGCTGCCTCAGTTTGGCAATCTGGCAGGAAGAAGAGTCAAAATCAAATAAGAGAAGGTATGGAACAGAGAATATTCACAACTCCAAGCTAGCAGCGAAGATACAACAGTACCTGCCATAAATTAAACATCTACAATATCATTCTATGGAGATGGGTGTGGAATTTGATTACTGTTTGAAATTCAGTCATGGATTTTACACTGATTTATGAAGTTTAGGTTAAAAGAAAGGATTGATTTTTATGATATGCCTGGAAAGACAATGGGATATATTCAACAATGACAATCCTAAAGATACATACATATATGTAATACATATATTCACTTTGGAAGGATGATGCACTAATTCTGCAGTGGTTTTCAGACTTCATTTGCAAGATAAAGATGTAATCTCATCATTGTGACACTTTGTATTCATGGAGCATATGAGGCATTCCTAACCATAAATAAATGGTGGATTTCCTCTGATGCAAACATATAAGGACAGGACCACAAGGTTGATCAGAGTCACAGCCTCTCTCAGAGAAAATGCTGGCTATTGCTCATTTCCACGTGTAAATTAAAACAGCTGATTTAAAAATAAATAGCCAGGTACCAATGCTAGCTAACCAAAGTGAATCATCCAGGCCCTTGCTCCACAGAATTTGTTCCCTCTCATAAAAACTGAATGTGTCACTGTTCAGCTAAATACAGAATACTGTGCACAGTATCAAATTATAACACTTGGGGATTTTTCTTCTTCTTGCAGTAGTTATGCTTCTCGGTACTAGTAACAACTTTCCCCCCATTTTTTGATGATTAGTCCCTTCAAGAATGTTGGCCGTTTATGAGGACCATCAAGTTGGTTAGATAAGTGCTCTTCATCTGTCCCTGCAATTCAGATCCTTCAGTATGTTACATTTGCTTTTTTCTAAATCCAAATTCCATTTTAGAGTATCTACAATCATACAGCATTCCATTACATCAACTGAGCATACAAAAATCAATAGCACATCCCACATATATTTGCTTCCCAATTTCATGATTTAATGCATTAAACAGATTTTATATTAAACAGAGTCAGATAATGAGCACTAAATGAGATATCAGGTGTACTATGGGGGCATTTCACACCTCACTACAGAAAAACATACACATTGGATGATATAATGTACTATAGTACAGTACTGTTTGCATGCTAGTCTTACCATGGACATCTATGCTGACTCCTCAATGCTTAGCCAATCCACCCTGAAGGATTTGTAAGAAGGAAGAAACCTGCCATGCTCTTTCCTCAGAGAACACTTAACAACCTCATTTATAACTGGGAACCTTCCACACCAAGCTTAAACACTTACTTCTTTTAGTTGATCAGCGCTCCCCCATGAAGCTGAACGCTGATGAGATCTCTTTTCTAATATCTCTTCTGCCCAACAGCTAGGTGTCTAAACAAACAAAAACCAACAGGGTATGATTTGGCAACACTGCTTAGTCTCTTTTCATACTAGTAATGTAAAATTCACAATTTAGCATTTACACAGAGGTCTCCTGAGTGTTCAAAGTACCTCACAGGAACTCTTTGCCCAGCAATGCTGAAACAATATTGTTGCCCACATATTACAGGGGCGGGGTATGTGTGTGAGAGAGAATTGCAGCTTACTTAAGCCACAGAGTAACTTTGTGGGCAAGGGAATATAAATTCCCAGTTTATAGCTGGCACTCGGCCACTACACCAAACCAGCTCTCTACAAACGCACAAGAACCCTTCCCCATACTTTTGTTAATCACTTATTAATGCTTTTAAAAAATCAGTGTATTGTTGTATTTGTGCATTCTTATCATTGCTTATTGAAGTCCTGAATGCTTGTAGAGAACATGTACAACATTAAGAACTCACAACTAGAAACATAACAGACCACACAATTTAGCAGTATTCAAACTATGTTCCGGCTTCATCCCCCACTTTTTTCTATACTACATCTGCTATGTTGAAACTACTGCTTGGAAAAGCAAGTTGAGCCACATGAACAGAAGCATATGTGAAATGATTGAAAACAAAGGGGGTATTTGTCTAGAAACAGAAAAGTGCCTCAATGCAAATGCAAAATATAGATTCAGACCATAAATCATTTAATTCTACTTTAAAGAAGGTTAAAGAGAAGAGGGCAGGGGTTAAACATAGTATTCTCAAAAAATCCAAATTAGTCAACCTATGGAGGTGACAGATCAAGCTTGCAGGTTTGCATAAATTTATTTTTTTATTTTACACAATAAAAAACCTTGAAGATCAAAGTTTTTCTGCACTATTTGGAAACACAAACCCTCTTCATTCAGTACCATATCTAAAAGCCTAATTCAAGCTACACTATTTACAGGTCTGTCCCAGATACTGTTGAATAGACACATGCCCAGAGTTGAAAGAAATTTTCTAGGCAAACTGTGATCAGTGCTGCATGGATGGGGGGGCTTAAATCCTCATCTTAACTAGAAATGGCTCTTGGGTTTACTCCATTGGGGAAGCTTATATGGTTCTCATGGACTCTATGTAAATTTCCTCAACCAGGCAAATGGCAGCTCTGCAAGAGCCATTTCATTTCAACAGAATATAGAGGCTTAAGCCCCTCCCCCATTTGCCCTGACCTGGATAGCCAAATTAGACCAATTTCGTCATATCTCAGAAGCTAAGCAGGGTCAGCCCTAGTCAGTAGTTGGATGGGAGTCCACCAAGAAAGTCCAGGGCCAAAACACTGAGGCAGGCAATGGCAAACCAGCTCTGAACATCTCTTGCCTTGAAAACTCCACAGAGTTGCCATAACTCAGCTGTGACTTGATGGCAAAAAAGCAAGAAAAAAGAAAAAAGCAGCCCCCTTTCTCCATGGTCCTGATCCAGATCAGGTACCTGTCACCTGGGATTTTAGTTTCTATGTGCAAACCCCCAGTGCACATCTGCTTCATAGGAGCCACAAGCAATACAACAAACTTAGGGCCTTATATTATATTAAAGGTAAAGGTTCCCTTGCTCGAAAGCCAGTCGAATCCGACTCTAGGGTTGCGGTGCTCATCTCTGTTTCAAAGCCGAAGAGCCAGCGCTGTCCAAAGACGTTTCCGTGGTCATGTGGCCAGCATAACTAAACACCAAGGGGCACAAAACACTGTTACCTTCCCACCAAAGTGGTACCTATTTATCTACTTGCAATTTCTTGCTTTCGAACTGCTAGGTTGGCAGGAGCTGGAACTAGAGATGGGAGCTCACTCCATCATGCGGCACCCGGGTCTCAAACTGCTGAACTACTGACCTTCCACAGCCTGCAGTTCAGCGTCTTAACCACTTGAGCCACCGCAGCTCCTTTTATATTATATTGGACTCCTCTTAATGATCAAAAGAAGTTTTGCCACTACATTTAGGCTTCTTTTAGCACAGTGATGATACTTACTCCTTATAAGCCACTCTGAATGATTTATATATGTGATTAACACATGGAATTCACTGCCACAGGAGATGGTGGTGGCTACAAGCATGGACGGCTTTCAAGAGGAAATTAGATAAACATATGGAGCAGAGGTCCATTAGTGACTATTAGCCACAAGGTATAGATAGGAACTCTCAGTCTGGGGCAAGGGATGCTCTGTATTCTTGGTGCCGGGGGGGGGGCAACAGTGTCGTGGCCCTAGTGCGTGACCTCCTGATGGCACCTGGTATTTTTGGCCACTGTGTGACACAGAGTGTTGGACTGGATGGGCCTTTGGACTGATCCAATATTGGCTTCTCTTATGTTCATATCATTTCTTAAAATGTTAAACATTCAGAGGAACTACTAACATTTCTACAGAAAATTGTACAAGTGGGAACACAGCATTACAGAGTCCCAGAATGTCTACCTCAGGGGTCTTCACCATGGTGCCCAGAGGCTTCACTGGTGCCCATTGACACTTTTCTAGCACCCACCAAGTATTTTAGTAAGTGGGTGGGGCCAGGTAGGGCTTTTGTCCGGCAAAGCTTCTGATTGACTAATAGAGATTTGATTAGCTGTGCAAATTTTTTAAAATGTTGCTTTGGCAGCCGCCGCGTGTTACTGAACTTAAGCTGTGGCAATCATTTTGTGACTGGCTCCATGTTCTGCAGCAGCCATTTTGTGGTAGCTATTTTGTGGCTGGCTCCCAGCATGCCATGGCAGAACTCCCAATATGCCCACAGGCTCAAAAAGTTTGAGGACTTTTTGTATCTAACAGCATCTTTTGCAGAACCTAGTGGCTTCTCAACTGCATTCCTACCCAACACAGAGAAAGCACACTCAAAAAGCTTCTCTCTAGACCACCAAATGAAAATAAAAGTTGCCCACAGATAAGGCATCATCTCCACTCTATCTTTTGCTCCCTTATCCTTTTAACAGTTTCACACCTGCAGCTGTCACAGGTGCGGTTGCTTTACTTATGACAGAGACAAACAGCAGTGGAATGGCAGGAAATACAGCAGCACACAACTCCTGTATTTACAACACAGTACTTTCTCTATGGGGCACTCTGAGTGTGAAATTTCCTCCACAGGCATCTGTACTTGCTTTTAAACAGTAAAGATCAGCCTATTTTTCTGTACTTTTAACAATTCAGTATGCATATTTTACAGCTGCTTTTGACCTCTATTTTGTAGTTCAGTTTGTTTTAAATTGTATCCTCTTGTGGTTGTAAGCCAACATAGAAGTCAGGTTTTCCGTGGGGGGGGGGGGTTAAGCAGAAAGCTTTAAAATATTCCTCTTCAGCAGCAGTGAAGCAAGAAGCTCAGGCTAGAGTGCTCTGCTATGCCAACACGGGAAATGAAGTTGCATATGATAACTATGACAGGAGCTTGCTCACTCCCCCCCCCATGGGAAGTCTAATGAACTGGCAACATCTGTCAGAACTGAGAATAATGTGGAGAATTAAATCAACATGCTTAAATGCAAGCACACATACTCCCAATCAAATACATCATTCTAGTTTGGGACAAATTATTCTTGCGTTGGTCTTGACTGTTACAGGTAAGAAACATCTGAACTGGGGATTTCAAATAGACAGCCTGCAGAATAGCTCTAGACTTATTAGCTCTTCATTTCTACTCAACTACCTAGATGTAAGGACTGTGAAGAAAGCTATGTACCAAAAGACAGCAATGCAGTCCAAGACTGATCCCCATTCACATGTCATTTAACAGAAATCACAAAAAATAAAAATTGTAAGGTTTGAAACCACACAATGCATGTATATTCTTAATTTACGTATGCATACCCAGTTACTATAAAAAGTCAAATGAAAATCTGTCTCCTACTTGTCTTGTGCAAGTGAATAGTTAACACCTCACACTGGTGCTGCCAGATGACCCATCCCTGCAGTAAGCAGTGAAAGGGCCTCACAGAACAAACCTAAACAGGCTTATTCAGAAGTTATTCTGTTAATTTACACAGGACTTTCATAATATGCATGGCACCAGGGTGCAGTGGTTAAAGTGTTGCACTAGTATCTGGGAAACCCGGGTTCAAATCCCCATTCTGCCATGGAAGCCTGCTGGGTGACTTTGAGCCAGTCAAACACATGCTACCTAACTTACCTTGCAGGCTTGCTGTTGTGAGGACAAAATGGAGGAGAATATTGCAGCCCACTTTAGGTCCCCATTGGAAACAAAAGTTATAAATTAAGGACATAAATTATTGTTGCTGTAGACAGAGCAACTGCACCAAGGCAATGACATATCACAAGTAGACAGAAATGTTGAGGGCATGATGGACATGAAAATTGTACCTTTTTACTGCCTCTTCTATACATCTCCTAACACTATGGAAGCCCAGTCTGCTTTTGTCTCTTACACAAGAGATAGAGAATAAAGTATCTAGAGAAGACCAAAAAAGGGTGATTTACTGGAGGGGGGGGGATTTCCATCATATATGCCATGTCATGTCATCTGTACAGGGTGCATTGCTCTTCTAGCAGACCAATGTTCTAGGTAACACAAGAATCAGAGCTAAGAGATCCCCTTTATAGTGGCAGGGTCCCTTAGTCAAATATAAACCATGTTTGCACAGAATGGGAAATCTTTTTTGTGTTCCTCTCTTCTCCAAGAAAGATTTATACAGCCCATTTTATACTTCCGGTACACCCTGAGCAAAAGGGAAGATACAAGTTTAAGCTTGAATGAAGGGAAGGGAAAGTGGCTCACTGGCAGAGCGTTTGCTTGGCATGTAGAAGGTCCCAGGTTCAATCCTTGGCATCTCCAATGAAAGGGATTAAGTAGGAGGTGATGTGAAGGATCTCTGTGCCTGAGACGCTGGAGACCTGCTGCTGGTCTGAGCAGACAATACTGACTTTGATGGACCAGGGGCTGACTCAGTATAAGGCAGCTTCATGCACTCATGTAATTCAGTTGAGCAAGGGTCAAGTGCAATCCTTTATTGCACTAATGCAGACAACTGGATGC